TTTTCCACAGGAGCCAGAGAGGGGGTTGAGATCGTAGGAGACATAGGGCCATCTCTGCCCCTTTGGGAGGCTCCAAGAGCGGACGGTAGTGGAGGCGGGGTCCCTGAGGTGTATGTTCGGTGGAAAGCTAAGCTAAGGTCGGCCACCTGAGTGCAAAAGGCCCTGAGGTAGGGCAAGAGTTCCGGGGGAGCCCTATCAAGAGCAGTGTTTAGGTGGTGGTCAACGGCTTCCGCGGTACCTCCAAAGAAGATTTGGCCTATAGCACCACGTTCTAGAGCTTTGGTGGTTCCAGAAACGAAGTGCTGCTGTATATTGGGTAGTGGGGGCATCGGGCGTACTCCCCCCTTTTTCAGGCCCCTTCCAACGGGCGTGGGCGAAATCGGAGGTTTCCCTGGAGGAGTCTCCATGGAGGGAATTTTAGCTTGTCAAACGAGAGTAAGAGAGATTGAGCGTTTCAGAACAAAATTTTCAATCTACGAAAAAGGTTGTTGGAGTGTTATTACTGACTCGGTGATATAAAACTGGCTCGGAGATATGCTGCCAAAGAACTTGAGACTCAATCGATTTCTCAAAATCCAGCTGGAATTCTCAAGACGAGGGCATTTATTGATGATCTCAATAAAGCAAATTGATTGGAGTGCATCAGGAAGGTGCTTTTCACGTGATGCTACCCCCCTCGCACGCAATCTTCGCGGAGCTCACGCAACTTTTCGGTCTACCTATCAATGGATTCTCTTGCACGGATCAGTACCAATTAGTCGGCCAGCCGAATTGGTGTGCGGGGAAATTGTAAGGTATAATTCGACGATGATTCGCTCAAACACGATGCACGTCAAGCGAACTGACCATTGTATACCTAGGTAATGCCTCTAGAATACTATACAATCGATGGCACGTAGAGAGAACGATCGAAACACGCCACCAAATATGCATGGGTACAAAGTTTGTACAACACCAAATGCAAAGCTATTGCAACATTATACCACATGTTCTTAGACTTTGGTTATATATCCCCACCTATGATCGATGGCATCAGATTCTTGGTTTTGATATCATATTCGTGGGGGTAGTTTTGCGGCACATATTGGGGATATAAGTTCCCAAGGAAAGTCTTCGCAGCGATCCGGACAGTCAGACCAAAGAGTCCATATAAATATTGATATACTCCAGTACACCAATACTTTATCCTACTCCTTCTTATCATGGCACCTTCAATTACCGACGCAGTATTCGAAACCGCTGAGAAAGTCAACGAGAAGATCAGCTCTAAACCTCTGGCTGCTAATGGACCGGATTTCAAAGATGAAGCACCAGCAGTTCAAGAACCTACGAACGAAACTTTCGCTAAGAGAGAGCCATTGAAACTCTCGGGGGCACTAAACGGTTTTCAAAGCTTCGATGTAACTCCCGTGATCGGCTGAGAATTCATTGATGTAAACCTCGCAGAATGGCTCAGAGCCCCCAATTCCGATGATCTTATCCGAGATCTCGCAATCACTAGTAAGTCCTCTGACAGCTCCCTCCTTGAAATCTCTGACATCTGTTAGTCTCCCAACGCGGCGTCGTTTTCTTCCGCAAACAAGATGACGTAACAAATGACCTCCAGAAAGAGCTCGTCCAGCGACTAGGTGAGCTCTCAGGCAAACCCTCAACCTCGAAACTTCACATCCACCCCGTCTCGAACTCGGCACGCGAGCACGGCGGAAAAGACGACGAAATTAGCGTCATCTCTTCCGAGCAAGCGAAGAAAATCTACAGTGATAGAATCCCTTTCCAATCCGAGAAGAAACAGAGTGGGAAAGAGGGATGGCATTCTGATATCACGTTTGAACCTGTGCCTAGTGATTATACTTTATTGAGACTTACTCAGTTGCCGAAAACTGGTGGTGGTGAGTTTGGCTAACTATTTCATATGGTGGAAGAGAATGTGATACTGATTCAGATAGATACTCTTTGGGCCTCTGGCTATGAATTATATGACCGACTCTCAACACCATATCAAAAGTTCCTCGAGGGTCTAACAGCAACCTACGCACCACCCCTATTCCTCTCCGCCGCCCAAAAAAACAACTTCAAACTCTACGACGCTCCACGCGGTTCGCCCCTAAACGTCGGTTCTTCCCTAACTACAACGCATCCAGTAATCCGGACCAATCCCGTCACAGGCTGGAAATCTGTCTTTGCATTTGGTCATCATGTTCAGCAAATCAACGAAGTAACGAAGGAAGAAAGCAGGGCTCTGTTGGATTGGTTCTTGAGATTGGTGGTTGATAATCATGACTTGCAGGTTAGACATAGGTGGCAGAATGAGAATGACTTGGCGATTTGGGATAATAGGTCCGTGTACCATGCTGCGACGCCGGATTATATTAATGAGGGGCTGGGAGAAAGGAAAGGGCAGAGGGCTGTTAGTATTGGTGAGAGACCATATCTGGACCCAGAGAGTAAGGGGAGGAGAGAGGCGCTTGCTGCAGAGGGAAGGGAAGGTTGAGATTTTCAGTAGATGGAATTTTTCGAGACAGTCGAGTTTGAGGTTTCGGGCAGAAGATTCTCATTTTAAGTGCGATGTTTTATGAATATTAATTGGAATGAACGGGTATTGGAATATTTTGAATCTGGAGGTGGTACTTCTCGCTTGACCAATGACAGTCGGGAGGATCTTTGTCTGTTGTAACTGCGCGCATGGCTAGGAGATCCTTTTTACGCGATACTGGAATGAATGTTTTTTCCAGAATACCATCAAGCAAATAGTGAATCACCGAAAACTATTCTTCATCACCTAACTACAAAAAAGGGGCGAAACGACATCAACATTTTTCGGGGAAAAATTTTTCTTCGACTTTCATCTATCTCTTTGCACCAAACGATTACAGCTAGAATTTCAACCACTCCCCTCTCCTCCTAGGAGCCCTTCTCCTATGGTGGAAGAATTACAGCCCCCAAGATATCACGTGAAAATTTTTCACCCCTATCTTTTTGACCTCACCCAACCCCTCCACCGCCAACGCCGCTACCATGGCGGTCCAATCACAGTCAAACTCGGAATGGGAACAAGAAATCATAGAAGCAACGGCCTACGAGCCTATGC